GGGGGCCAGAGCGGGGAGGGCGCCCGGTCTCCTCCGCCCGCCGCCCGGGCCCACGGCCGCTCGGCTTGCGGCTCGGCCCCGACGGCCGGCGGCGGCGGCGGCGGCGGCGCGCTCCTGGGGGCGGGCTCTCCGCGGACGGGGAGGAGGAGGAGGAGCGGGAGGGGGGAAATCGGGTCTCCCCGGGGGGCCCGGGGCGGGGAGGCCGGGGAGCGGGGCGGGGGAGGGAGGAGGGGGGAGAGGGGGAGAGAAGGGGGGACCCAAGCCCGGAGAGGGAGAAGAGGGGGGAGGGGGAGAAGCAGAAGGGGAAGAAAGGCCCCGGCGTCCGCCCCCCGCGGCGGCCTGCGCGCTACGTCACCACGTCCGCGGCGCGGGCGTCAGCGCGTCCGGCGCCGCTCGCGTCCGGCGCCGCTTCCTGTGTGGGGGGCGCCGCTCTGTGCGGGGCCGCCGCCGCCGCCGCCGGGCGCTCGCCTGCCCGCTCGCACGCTCGCACGCTCTGCCCCCCCCCCCCACCGAGCGCGCACGCGCGCGCGCACCACCGCTCCCGTCCTCGGCGCGCGCGCGCGTTCCCGCCGCGGGGGGCCCCCGAGGTCGCCGCCGGAGCCCCGAGCACTTGGACTGTGATTAGGCCGGTGACTGGGGAGGGCCGGAGAGGAGGTCTGGCTAAGTAACCCGAGGCTGGCCTCACTCACCGGTTGTAGCCCAGGCTAGGCTCGCCGTTGTAGCCCAGGCTGGCCCCGCCTTGTAATCCTGAGCTGACTTCGCCGCGTAGCACAGGCTGGCCCCGCCTTGTAATCCTGAGCTGACTTCGCCTTGTAATCCTGGGCTAACTTCGCCGAGTAGCCCAGGCTGGCCCCGCCTTGTAATCCTGGGCTGACTTTGCCCTGTAGCCCAGGCTGGCCCCGCCTTGTAATCCTGGGCTGACTTCGCCGAGTAGCCCAGGCTGGCCCCGCCTTGTAATCCTGGGCTGACTTCGCCGAGTAGCCCAGGCTGGCCCCGCCTTGTAATCCTGGGCTGACTTTGCCCTGTAGCCCAGGCTGGCCCCGCCTTGTAATCCTGGGCTGACTTCGCCGTGTAGCCCAGGCTGGCCCCGCCTTGTAATCCTGGGCTGACTTCGCCGCGTAGCCCAGGCTGGCCCCGCCTTGTAATCCTGGGCTGACTTCGCCGCGTAGCCCAGGCTGGCCCCGCCTTGTAATCCTGGGCTGACTTTGCCCTGTAGCCCAGGCTGGCCCCGCCTTGTAATCCTGGGCTGACTTCGCCGTGTAGCCCAGGCTGGCTGGGCTCTGGCTCTGGAGTCCTTTCTCCTTCAGGCTTCTTGGGGCTGGTATTTCCGCCATGGACCACCACCAGCTCGGACCGCAACTCCTGCCCCCAAAATAATCTTAGAACTCACTGTGTAGACCAGGCTGGCGCTGAACTCACTGTGTCTGGCCAAAAGTCACACTCTTGGGCCTTCTCAAAGATCCAGTTACACTTTTTGGAACAGTTATCTTAAATGTTTAACCTCAGCCGGGCGGTGGTGGCGCACCCTTTAATCCCAGCACTCGGGAGGCAGAGCCAGGCAGATCTCTGTGAGTTCGAGGCCAGCCTGGGCTACAGAGCCAGTTCCAGGACAGGCACAAAGCTACACAGAGAAACCCTGTCTTGGGGCGGGGGACTACTCACCTTCCTCCAGCCTCGACAGGTAAATTCCCCATGTGGAAACAGAATTTATTCCTCGTGGACTCCCTACTTGGGACTCTCAGAGGACAGAGGTAAGAATTCTGAGAAGTCTCCAAAGTTCCTTTCCTAGGTAGAACTGATTGCAAAAAGCGAGAAAATCGAGACCGCAGGGACGTTCCCCACAGTCACTCTTGCCACTGAGGACACAGGAGCTGGTGTGTCCCCCAAGCTGTGCCCTGCTCTAAGTTGCTGTCCTGGGTCAAGTTGTGTGAAACAGTGACTTTCGGGCCATGTCTTGTCCTGGGTGACACCATTTTACAAAGCAGCATTTGGTTCCATTGTGAGTGCAGATGCAGGATGGTGAGCCTGCATCTGATCTGTGCATGTCGACACCATCCCTGTCCTCCACAAACCAGGAGGCACAGACTGATAAATAAAACTATTCCTACAAGTAAAAAAAGCACGCCTGCATCCTCAAAGATATAGCCTGGGCTACCAAGCGAGTCCCAGGAAAGGCGCAAAGCTACACAGAGAAACCCTGTCTCGAAAAACGGAAAAAAAAAAAAAAAAAAAAAAAAGATATAGGTTGGAAACATACAAGCACATGGGTATATTAAAACCTGGAAAGATGGCCCAGTGGTTAAAGCACTGGCTGCTGCTCTTTCGGGAGATCCAAGTTTGATTCCCAGCACCCACATGGCAGCTCACAACTGGCTGTAACTCCAGTCCCAGAGGAATCGGACGCCCTCTCTGGCCTCCACAGGCACTGCACACATGTGATCCACAGACGTGTCTATAAACAAAACACCCGGACACAAAAATTAAAAATTTTTTTAAAAAAGCTAGGCATGGTGACACACACCTTTAATCCCATCTCCCTATAGTGAATTTCAGGACAGCCAGGGCTATACAGTGAGACCCTGTCTCGAAACAAACAAAACAAAATAGTAGAAGCCAGCAAGACCGTTCAGCAGGTAAAGGCACTTGCTCCCAAGCCTGATGGCGAGTGTTGGATCCCTGGTTGCCACGCGGTAGGTAGAGAGCAACAACTTCTGCCAAGTTGTCCCCAGATCTCTACACAATTCCTGTGTGGTGGTATTGTGTTCCCCAAAATATTGTGTACCTTCTCTCTGGTCAGAGAACAGAAAAGCCACAAGATACTTAGGCTAGAAAATGTTAGCACACGCCTTTAATCCTAGCATTCCAGAGACAGAAATCCCTCTGGATCTCTGTGAGTTCACGGCCACATTGGAAACAGCCAGGCATGATGACTCACACCTTTAATCCCAGAAAGCAGCCTTTAATCCCAGGGAGTGGTGGTAGAAAGCAGAAAGGTTTATAAGGCGTGAGGACCAGAAACTAGAAGCATTTGCCTGGTTAAGCATTTGGCTGGTTAAGCATTCAGGACTTCTAGCAGCAGTTCAGCTGAGAGCTATCGGGATGAAGACGCAGAAGCGTCCAGTCTGAGGAAACAGGACCAGCTGAGGAACTGGCAAGGTGAGGAAGCTGTGGCTTGTTCTGTCTCTCTGATCATTCAGTGTTCACCCCAATAACTGGCTTCAGGTTTGATTTTATTAATAAGAACTTTTAAGATTCCTGCTACATTCCTGTGGCACTATGTGACCAGGACACACACGCTAGGCAACAGATTGTTTTAAAAAGTTCTAATTAGAAAGATCAGGCCCATCAACTTAATGAACATACCAGACTAAGAATCTCTCCTGTGATCCATGTCTTCTAGCTCAGCCCTGAAGCTCCGCTCATCTCCAGCAGCTCTTCAGCTTAGTTATTAATATCTAACCACCTACAGTGACTCTTTGTATCTGTGTCAGCTCTTGGCCTCTGTGTTCAATAGGATGTTCAAAAGAAACTTGATTACCAACAACCACCACCACGGGCGCTAACGAGGGAAGCTGGGATTGCTTGGCAAATTGCAGCCAATGAAATAGTCATGCTTGCAAATTTATTGTTTTTTTTTTAATAATTCTGACACATTGATCTATGTTTCTGATATAGCACACGAGCAACATCTGTTTTTGGACATTTTTCTCTCCCATTTCCTTAACTTTCAGGTGAAAACTTTGACTCAATGGGCAAAATCCAACCAGAACTAACAAGGTTGAGCTAGGAGCATCAGGGAGGAAATATCGGGGTGGGTGGGCTTTAAGAAGGACTTTAAGAAGAGCTGGGCCATAGCGGCCCTGGCCTTTAATCCCAGCACTTGGGAAGAAGAGGCAGCCTGATCTACAGAGCTGGTTCCAAGGCAACAAAGGGGAGAAGAAGAGGAGGAGGAGGAGGAGGAGGAGGAGGAGGAGGAGGAGGAGGAGGATGCAGCTCTGAGGTAGTTATGCCTTACTTTTTTTTAAGAGTCACCCTTTCAGTCAGGTGTGGTAGCACACACCTTTACTCTCAGCACATGAGAGGCAGAGGCAGGAGGATCATTTTGAGTCCAAGGCCAGCAGGGTCTACATAGCCAGTTCCAGGCCAGCCAGGGCTACATGAGATCAACAAAAGGAGTCACCCTTGTAGGGCCGGAGAGATGGCTCAGAGGTTAAGAGCACAGACTGCTCTTCCAGAGGTCCTGAGTTCAATTCTCAGCACCCACATGGTGGCTCACAACCATCTGTAACTCTAGTTCCAGGGGATCAGATGCCCTTTTCTGGCCTCCACAGGTACTAGGCTATAGCTCTGCCTCCTGAGTGCTGGGATTAAAGGTGTGCGTCACCACCGCCCAGCTATAGCTCAAATTCTAATTGGTTTTATTAATAAAAACCCAGAGCCAGATATTGGAGTAAGTGCTGAAAGATCAGAGAGAGAAAGGAGCAAGCCACAGCTACCTCTCACCTCACCAACTCCTCAGCCAGAAGGCACTGAACGCCTGTCTCTTCCGGACTTCTATTTCTCTCTCCCTCCACCCAGCCATATCACTTCCTGTGTCAACTTTAATCCCTAGTGCTGGGATTAAAGGCTTGTGTGCCTCCCAAGTACTGGGAACAAAGGCATGAGATCCCAAATTCTGGGATTAAAGGTGTGTGCCACCACTGCCTAGCTCTGTTTCTCAACTGGATCAATCTTGTGTAGCCCAGCATGGCCTTGAACTCACAGAGATCCTCCCAAGTGCTGGGATTCAAGGTGTGTACCACCAGTGCCTGGCCTCTATAGCTAACTAGTGGCTTAGCTCCACATTCTGATCTTCAGGCAAGCTTTATGTGTTAGATCACCAACAAAATATCACCACACCAGGCACATAGATGGTGCACAGACATACAAGCAAGCAAAACATGCACATAAAATACAATAATAAGAAAAAAAGAGGGGTTGGGGATTTAGCTCAGCGGTAGAGCGTTTGCCTAGCAAGCACAAGGCCCTGGGTTTGGTCCTCAGCTCCAGAAAAAAACAAAACAAACAAAAAGAAAAAAAAAGAGATGGCTCAGTGGTTAAGAGCACTGGCTGCTCTTTCCAGAGGACCTGAGTTCAATTCCCAGGTCATAACTGTCTGTAATTTAGCTCCAAGTGATTTGACACCCTCACACAAACATACATGCAGGCAAAACACCAATGCACATAAAATAAAAATAAAATCATTAAAAATAAATAAAATTACATTTGCTTACTAAAAAAAAGAAAAAAGAATCACTTAAAAAAGATCTATTTATTATATACACAGTGTTCTGCATGCATGTTTGGTGAATACCAGAAAAGGGCACCAGATCTCATTACAGATGGTTGTGAGCCACCATGTGGTTGCTGAGAGTTGAACTCAGGACCATCTGGAAGAGCAACCAGTGCTCTTAACCGCTGAGCCATCTCTCCAGCCCCAAGAATCACCCTTTTAACTGGTTGTGGTAAGTCCACGCCTGCAAGACCAGATTTGAGAAGAGGGGGCAGGAGTTCAGAGCCAACCTCCATAACATGGCAAGTCCAAAGCAAGCCTGAGTCACGTGAGAACCTGACCCAACCACCCACCATGCAGACACAAACATAAAGAGTCACCATTGTTGATTGATTGATTGATTTTGAGAAGTTAAGGAAGGCCTGAGCTCTCGTGTTTACCCTGCCTCAGCCCCTGAAGTAACACTATCATATAACCCCTGCTCACAGCCTTTCCCGCAGGCCTCACGAGGCTCTGGAGAGGAAGAATTCCATTTCTAACCTTTGTCCCCCAGGCCTGGCAGCTCATTTGTTAGCCATCTCCCAACAGTAGCAAGGGACAGACATCTCTCTCCAAACAATCCAACCTCTCCTCACATCCCCCCGCTCTGTACTGTCAATGGGACACTCTGCCAAGTTCCACCTGTCCTGGCTTCATTTTTCAGGTCAGATGTTTGACTGCTCTATCTCTGGCAAAAAAAAGAGTCATGCCAGCCAGAGGTCCACTCCTCCCAGGGTCCCTGGTGGCCCGGACAGAGTTGAGGCCGCTGCTGTGGAGACCCTGACCACTGGATGTGTGTTTTCAAGGAGGACCTCCTCCAGCAATGACTACCTCCTTGTTGCTGGTTTTTTTGTTACTGACTCCAGCCACAGTGGCGATCCTCCAAACTGCTGGTCCATGTCCATCGTGTTGGGGGGCCACCTTCGACCTGGAGAGCCAGCGGGAGCTGCTTCTCGATTTGGCCAAGAAAAGTATCCTGAACAAGCTGCACCTCAGCCAACGCCCCACCCTGAGTCGGCCTGTGTCCAGAGCAGCCCTGAAGACCGCGCTGCAGCGCCTCCGTGGGCCTCGATGGGAAACCCTGCTGGAGCATGACCCGACACAGGAATATGAGGTCATCAGCTTTGCTGAGACAGGTGGGTCCATGGTCTGCAGCTCTGACCCCAAACCTGACCCTGGAAAGAGAAAATCTCCCAACTTCATTCACTCTGGCTACCTCTCACAAGCCATCCAGCTCCTGCCTCCCAGGTTCTCTATGAGAGGTCAGGTCCACCTGGTGGGAGCTGGGAACTGTTAAGTTTCATTTCTTCTGAAACTGCTTGTCCTCATCTCCTCTGACACCACCCCCAGAACCCACGACCCCCAACCCCAAGTGTACCCGCCCGTTCCCCAGGCCAAGGACTCGTTACTGGGGAGTCCGTGATTTCTCTGGCCCCAAGATCTATCACTTTCATCTCTTCTTCCTCATAAGTACCCCATTTATGTAAAAAGAGAAGTAAAACACCGGGATTATTATAATACCTCTCCATACCTCAGGCCCTCATGTCAGAACAAGGTCAAATAGCACTCAGAAAGAGGTGTGCAAGATAAACGTAAAGAAACTCAGTCTCGCACCAGGTGTAATGGTGCACACCTTTCATACCGGCACTCTGGAGGGAGACAGATCTCTGAGTTCAAGGTCAGCCACAGTGATAGGTGAGACGCTGTCTCAAAAACAAAATAGATAAATAAAATTTTAAAAAATTAAGTAAACCGGGTGAGGTGGCTCACACCTTTAATCCCAGCACTAGGGAGGCAGAGGCAGTCGAATCTCTGTGAGTTCAAGGCCAGCCTGGTCTACAGAGCAAGTTTTTGGACAGCCAGGGATATGCAGAGAAACCCTGTCTCAGAAACAAGAGCGAAGGAATAAAAGACAGAGGAAAGAAAGCATTGCTTCCACAGATGAGCGAGCGAGAGAGAAGAGAGGAAATCCCAGCACTTAGAAGCAAAATGCAAGCTTCCTCTTAGGTCTGGGCAATGCCATTCCCCACCAGACACAGCTCCTTTCCCCTGGTGGCTGGCACCTAGCACGAGCCTGGGCCCCCACTCCTGCGGAGCCACTTCAGCTGAGTGAGCTGGGTAGTTAGTAACCAGTTTTCTCATCCGTGAACAAGGACAGTGAGAGCACAGTTTAGAGATGTCAGTGGGTTAGTGCGTATAAAGTCCTTAGGATGCGGAAAAAGGAAGAAGGAGCAGGAAACAGAGAGGAAGGACTCGGCTCCTGTGCAGCCAGGGTCTCCTCTCTGGGTCTTCACATGGCCAAAGAGCCAAGGACACGCTCTCAAGTCTCTTTTAACAGGGCATGAATCCCCTCTCCAGGGCTCCACCCTCATGACCTAATAACCTCCCAAAGGATCCACTCCAAACACTATCACCTTGGGATTCAGATTTCAACACAATTGTTTTGTTTTGTCTTTTGAGACAGGGTCTCCTTACGTGGCCCAAGCTGGTTTGAAACTTACAATATAGCTCAGATTGGCCAAATACGCATGACCTTCCTGCCTTAGCATCTGAAATGCTGGATGTGCCCAGCTTCAATATATGGATTTTGAGGGGACAGAAGCAAAGAAATCCATAGCAGCCTTTCTCCGAGAAACCTCTGACCACTCCAGCCCAACCTTCCTTACACGTGGTCGCTGGCCTCCAAGAGGGCAGTTTCAGGATGACTGTCCAGCTTCTGCACACACTTTGTTTACTTTTGTCCCGTGGGCAAAGCATGTCACTTCGGCCAAGTCCAGAGTCAGGGTGGGATGGAACTGATGGAAATCATGCAAACCAGGAGGTGTTCCGGGGCTGCCGACATAGCAATCCACTATAGTCTGTTCTCTGGCCCCTAGTAATTCATTTCTTTCCCACTGCCACATACAAAACACAGTCACCCCTTCCGGGTTCTTCCAAGTCACATTTTCATCTATGATAACGTTAGGATCAGGTTTGAAGTCCATGATCTCGTCACATAAATCACAAGGCTAAATCATGAGGCCCCTCAGGTACTTTCCTCCAAGTTCAGAGATCTTCAATGGTGTCCTAAAACTGGTTCATACTGCCTTCTGACAGCTGATGGTGAACTTATCTGGGTTCAGTTATGTCACATTAGAAGCTTAAAATTGGACCTCACGGAAGAATGTATACTAGAGAAACTGTCAATCACCTCAAATCAAGGCTTTGAAGGTTCTTCTCCCAGAGACCAGCTGTTCAGTGTTTACTAACACACCACTGCCCACGTTCCTGAAAATAAATTACCTCTTCCCCCTACCCACCTAACACCATGCTGAGGCCAAGACAGGACAGGGTAACGCTAACAGACGTTCTCCTTCAGGAGTGTGGGGGAATGGGGCAACACTGGCTGAGACAGGGCCAGGGGGCCAGGGGTGGTGGCGCACGCCTTTAATCCCAGCACTCGGGAGGCAGAGGCAGGCGGATCTCTGTGAGTTCGAGGCCAGCCTGGGCTACAGAGCGAGATCCAGGACAGGCACCAAAGCTACACAGAGAAACCCTGTCTCAAAAAAAAAAAAAAAAAAAAAAAGACAGGGACAGGGTAGCTACAACAAACGTTCTCCTTCAGGAGGGTATGGAGGAATGGGACACAAACACCTCCCTCTCTGACAGGTCTTGCTGGCCTCACTCTCGTGATCCCCTTGCCTAAACACCGGGGCAGGTGTGTGATCCATAAAAGTCCTGATTTCCTGTCTGCTACGGACTTCAGTCTACACAGATTATTTCCTTTTGGTGGGGCCTGATTCTGCTCTGCGGGGGAGCTCAGGTCGACCGTCATAGCCCTTGGCACTCTACCTTCAAAAATGTCCTTCCTTTTGAACAAGAAATGGCCTGTGTTTGCAAGGGAGTGCAGAGCTCTCTGTTCTTTGGTTGGTTGTCTGTCTGTCTGTTTTGAGATAGGGTCTCACGACATGGTCCTGGGCTGGCTCAGAACTCTCAGTGCAGACCAGGTTGGCCTCTAACACGTAGAAATATTCCTGCCTCTGCTTCTCAAGGTGCCCAGCCCTTTTCCTGTTTGCTTTGTATGTTTGCAGCGCCGAGGACAAACGCTCTGCTGAATGACGCCCTTAGCTCCCTCTTTTCATTTTGAGTTATCTCCATCCCTTTCAGTCCAAACTGGTGCTCCTCTGACTTTAAGACCGTGGGCCCAGCAACTTTCTCTTGAGGAACCCGAGCCTCCTCTGGAGGGTAGGATACTGTCTCCTCTTAAGCCCTTCTCTATCACTTCCTCTCCCTCTCAACGGAGGTTGGCGTCCGAGCCAGGTGTTTCCAGCTTCTTATCCAAGCGATTAAAAATAAAGGCTCACACAGACTTGAAAAAGAAGATACTTTTATTTGGAGCAAAGCGATAGTATAGATTAGCTGGGGGGGGGGGGGGGGGGCGCGGGCGGGCATAACTGGGTCACGTGAGTAAGGATACTCCAGGGCTCCAACTATTCCTTTCATGGGGTTCAAGGAAAGGAGGAGTTGGTTCTAAGGGATGTAGTCTATGTAGTTCATTATTTTGATTAATAGATTAAGCCATACATTCATTGTTCCTGCTGTCCATGTCCCTTCCCATAATGCATCAGACTTTAATCATATGCACACTTGATTATGCACAGGCCCAAGATGGAAAATAGGAGATTCTCTCGGAAAGGTCGCCAGAGGACAGTTTTGCCTTACTGTGCATGCACACAAAACCAGTTCAGTCCAGATCAGCCCTTCCATCCTTCATACCTGAGTATGTCGGGAATATATTTGAATACAAACTGTCTGAATATGGTTGTTACCAGGGGCAGGGGAGCTCATATCAGTGCTCAAGGGCGGAAGAACATGTAGTCCAGTGCAAATAAGGGGCTGGGGGGGGGGGGTCCTAGGAGTGCTGAGTGCATTGTTTGGAGAGTGGCGTGTGTGTCTGGCACGTGCAAGTGAAGGCACTGGACTGCCAAGTGCATTATGATAAGGGGAGTGTGTGTGTGTGACTAAAACTACATGGAGGTCTCAGGGCACCAAACATTCCTATGCTTGCCTGCCTCCAATGCCTATGATTAAATCTGTATTAAAATGCTTTTTTTTTTTTTTTTTTTTTTTTTTTTTTTGGTTTTTCGAGACAGGGTTTCTCTGTGTAGCTTTGTGCCTTTCCTGGAACTCACTCGGTAGACCAGGCTGGCCTCAAACTCACAGAGATCCGCCTGGCTCTGCCTCCTGAGTGCTGGGATTAAAGGCGTGCCCCACCACCTCCTGGCTGAAAAATCTTTTCTTAATAAACTAAATGAAAAAAAAAAAAAAAGACTTCACAAGTCTCTAAATAATACAGTGTGGTCTATCCAGTCAGATGTTAACACATCCTGTGCTGTCCAGTCAAACTCGAAGCCATCAAGGTATTTCACACCTGTAATCCCAGCACATGGGAAACTGAGGCTACATAGTGTGACTCTATCTCAGAGAACCGATACATGAGTAAAACAATAAACGAATTTTTAAATCTTAACGGGTATTGTTTTCCATTTCACTTTTCTTTTTGTCCTAATCTTTATTCTGGCTGTGTCCACTGCCAGCACCCTGGATTTTATTTTTTTAATTTTTTAGATTTACTTTATGTGTATAAGTATTCTGCCTGCACATATGTATGTATGCCACATGCATGTGTGTGCCTGGTTCCATTAGAAGTCAGAAGAGAGCTTCAGATCCCCTGGAACTGGAATTACAGATGGCTGTGAGCCACCATGTGGGTGCTGGGAATCAAACCTGAGTCCTCTGCAAGAGCAACATGTGCTCATAACCACTGAGAGATCCCTCCAGCCCTGCACTAGTATTATTACTATTATTTATTTATTTTTGAGATAGGATCTCACGATGTAGTCCTGCCTGACGACCTGGAACTTTCTATATAGTCCAGGCTGGCCTTGAACTTGAGATCTGGCCACCCATATCCAACAAGGATTTTTTTGTTGTTGTTGGTCCTGAGGTTATTTTTTCATTTTAAGAGCCTTTTGTCTCTTTTAAAGATCTGTTTATCAATTTACTATGTGTATGTATGTGCCTGTGTGAGTTTATGTATACTATATAGAGGTCAGAGAGCATCGTATCTCTTGGAATTGGGGTTACAGGTAGCTGT